GCTCAAAATTTAAACACTAGCATGAGGTCAGCCACAGGGCGCTTCTTGCGGAGGCCTTTGATGACGATGTGACCACCCAGGAGTAGCGGGTGCGCATCTTTGTTCTCATTCTCCTTTCAGGGACTTTCTCTCCTGACAGGGGAAGTCGTGTCTTGCTGCACTATCTCTCCTCCATGCGCGATCTTCAGCTGATCGGCACGTACGACTGGGCCAGCCTTGGCTATGCCGACTTGCTTTTGGGATTGCAGTTGTCCTGTCGTCAGCGACAGTGTAGTTCAGAGAGTACTCTCTCTAGTTTCTGGAAGATCGTAGAGGTATGTGTCCTTCTATTTTAGTATGTTTAGTTTTCTTCTCGATATTTATCGAGTCTTAAGAATTCTACGAGTACTTCCCTTCTTTAGCGCTGGTGAGGCCTCGAGCTAGAGGGCTCCTGGTTGTCGCCAACTGGCAGGGATGCCATGTTGGTTTAGTTACTACTGCTTCTATTAGGGTTGCGATTCTTGAGTTAATAATTTTTCCTTTTGTTTTCTGGTCTCTTAAGATTTCATCGCGAGTTCCTAACTTATTTCCTTTGTTGTAGCACCCTGATGTTCAGTATCGCCCATGGACTGATTTGGGCGATTTTAGGTTGGCTTCTCAGTATCTTGCTGAGAGACATTTCTTCAGGGGTACCTACAATGTAGTATGGTACCTGGGCGAGAGGGTGACGATCCAGCACTCCTCGACTGTTCATGTAGTTCCTACTGACCCTCCTTCTCAGATGATGAGTTAGGAGCGGCTCCGGATTCATGCTGCCACCGGAGCAATTGACGAGGATTGGTGGATATATAGTTACCTCGACCGTCCTTACGCAGAGGTATTACTTTCTCGACTAGCTTCACCACCCTACCGCGAGGAGGAGGTTTGTCATTCTTGACTATCCATTTCATCTTTTCTGTTTCCCCTAACGATGTCTTACCGTTAGACTTACTTTATGCAGAAGTCGGAGGAGCTGGAGGAGTTTGTGCCTTCGCGCATGTCCATCACTTATCAGGGGACTTATGGACCCATTGAGGAGATGATTCCTCCAGCCCCGGAGGAGCGGCGATTAGTGTCCCAGTCTATTCCTCATCACCAGACCTGGGTGAGCTCTCATTCTTCAGCTTATTCGGTGTACATGTATATATTTTGTGTTTCCCTGACTTTGTCTGTTTTTGCAATTCTTTCGCAAGGTGGTGACGCGGATGACAGCAGCCATGGGCGCCTTCCGGTACCAGCTGGTGAGATGGAGTCACCGAGCATCGTGTCGGCTTACGGATGGCATTGTGCCGGTATGTCTTTGTACATTGCTTTTATTTGTTCATTTTTGCCTTTTTACGCCTAACTTGTTTTGTTGTTTTTATTTTAGCCTGCTCCTCAGCCACGTACTCGTTCGAGGCTAGAGAACTTGAGGGATGAGGGGGATCGAGACGTCGGCGCACCTCTTTGGAGATCCCAAGTAGGGAGGAGGCGCGCAGCCAGGTCGAGGTTGAGGATGATAGCAACTCATTGTCAGGGGATGAGAGGCCACCTGATTATGGTATTCGGTGCTCTGTCCTCACGAGTCCCCGAGTGCTTTTGTGGCTGGTCTATCATCTCGGCCCGGTGGTGGGACGTACGAGGTTGGCTCGTCGTCATAGCAGCCAGAGCCCACTCCTTTTGCTAGGGGGAGTTTTCAGCAGTACGGGCCACACGGAGGTACTCAGTGGACTAGTCCTACGATCACGATCCCGACGACTGATGGTGCTGATATTGATCAGGTGTGGACTCCACGTGGTGTGCAGTTCTATGATACTTTTGGCATTCCTCGGGATTTACGTCCTCGAGCGCCATAGTTGCTCCTGTATGTATTTTTTTTGGACTTTCTAGGACTTTGCTCCCTAGACAATGGAGGGGAACCCTATTAGAGATGACATTCCATAAGGGTCTAGTACACTAATAATCATCAAATCGTTCAACATTCTTGGATACAGGGCACTTATATGGTCGACGATGATCTCTAGAAGGAATGGTTTGAGCAAGGCCATATTGTCTCATCACCCTAGAAGGGTAGTAAAAAGTTAACTTGGACAAGCTTGGAATACGGCAGGAAGGTTGAGTATTGACTCCAACCATCTTCTCAATTTTCCACCAAGGAATGATCCACTTAATAGAGAAGTCGCGAGTTTAAAAAATTCTACTCCACTCCCGGCGTCCCATCTTCGAGGAAAAACGCTTCTTCCTTCTCACAAGACAAGTTAGGAATATACTTCTCAATATTGTCAGGAGGAATGATTAATTCAAGTCCCTCCATTAGCCAAATCTGCAAGAATAGGAACAAATTGTTATTACTTTACAAAATTAAATATTTTTGATTTATGTAATTAATAGTATTAATTTTCTACCTGTAATAATATTGGAGATCCTCGAAGTGGTGCTTTGGGATCCTTCTTTAGTTAATCTAAACTAAGCATTGTTTCTCCAACAATTAATGGCATTGGGTTTCTCCTAGCGTCAATTTGTTCCATGAAAGATGCTAAAATAGCTTTCCTCATATGCATACTACCACTAGTAAGTAGAAATTGGCCAAACATGCAATAGAGAAAAACCCTTCTCCTATATATGTTAAATGAGTCCGACTTAGGTCTATTAAAATAAAAAGATGCATATTTTCTTAGATCAACTTCACTACCATCAACTATGGTTTTCAAATCATTTTCCCTCAGATTATAATAACGCTCAAAATCTTTATAGTATATTCACACACCTGGGAATTACTGCATGGTTTACAGAGGGAAAACCAAAAATAGCACCAAATTCTTCCAGCAAAGGGCTGACCCTAAGGAAAAGAAGGCTTTGGTTGAAAAGAAAGTTGTAGTGAAGTTGATCTAAGAAAATATGCATCTTTTTATTTTAATAGACCTAAGTCGGACTCATTTCACATATATAGGAGAAGGGCTTTTCTCTATTGCATGTTTGGCCAATTTCTGCTTACTAGTGGTAGTATGCATATGGGGCAAGCTATTTTAGCATCTTTCATGGAACAAATTTGACACTGGGAGAAATCCAATGCCAAAATTCAAGACTCCCATCATGTCTAAGAAGAAAAGTGTTGTGGAGGATAAAGGGAAAAGGAAGGCTGACCCTAAGGAAAAGAAGGCTTGGGTTGAGAAGAAAGTTAGCGTTTTTGCTAAAGGGGAAACTATTTCTTCTAAGGTTTCGGTTAGATTATCTAAGGGTTCCCTATTGGTAAAGGAGCTGGAAGATGAAGAAGATACAAACAAGATCTGGAAGAGAACTAGGAAGGGAAAGGTAGATTAGAGCATTACTTTGATTTCAATATATTAGACAATATTTAATTTCAATTTAATTTTATTTTTAAGCTTTTATTTCATCTATAATGTAATTTTTCTTTATCAATTATTAATGCAATTTTAGCTTTTGATTAAATTAACTTTTTATCTTCGACATTCCTTTATAATTTTAAGCAATGAAAACATTTTGAGTAATTTCAAAAATAATCCGAGTACGGAAGTCGAAAAATCTCCGAAGTAATCTGAAATAGTCGCGATTAATCGTAGCTTAGAAACGGCAAAAATCGGCTTCCATCGCGGCTCGTTGGTTCCTGATTTGCTGCGATATTTGATTTTTGCGATGCTGAGTTGAAGTGTCATCGTAAAAAGGCGGGATTTTGAAAATTAAAGTGGTCGCACCATTTAAAAGGGTTGCCTACGTATCCTTGTTAAGGAATCAGGGCAGGCGTAGCTCTCTTGAGTATAAAACTCAATTAAATTATGGGTAGAACTTCTTGTGTTGGTCAAGGTTTGACATATTCGAAAATTCATTACCATCCATGTCTGCGAGTTTAGCTGCGCCTCCAGATTGGATAGTTTTTATAATGTATGGTCTAGACCAATTAGGCCTAAACTTGCCTCCTGGGTCTATACTAGAACATTCTTTCTGAGTGCCTTTAACATCATGTCTCCTTCCTTGATGTTTCTTGTCTTGACCTTTTTGTTAAAGTGTCTAGCCATGCGAGTTTGGTAGCATTAGGCATGATGTAAGGCTTCTAGTCGTTTTTCATCCAGTAGAATTATCTCGTCATATCGTGCTCTTGTCCATTCGACCTCGTCAAGCTTACTTTCTAGTGCTATGCGCAAAGAAGGTATTTCTAGCTCTACAGGTTGTACAACGTCCATTCCATAAACTAGGGAGAACGGCGTAGTTCCTGTGGATGATTGGATTGACGTGCGATAACCCCAAAGAGAAAAGTGGAGTTTGTCAGCCCAATCCTTGTAGTTTTCTGTCATCTTTTCGATGATTGTTTTAAATTCTTATTGGTTACTTTGATTGCGCCATTTTCTTGAGGCCTATATGGAGAAGATTGGTGATGTTGAATTCCATACTTTTTATGCAAGTCTTCACACTCCGCTTGAAAGTGAGTTCCATTGTCACTTATCATTTCATGTGGGACTCCGTATCTACATACGATGTTCCTTTCAAGAAAGAGTGTCACATGTTTTGCAGTGAGTTTTGCGTAGGACGCTGCTTCAATCCATTTGGTGAAATAATCAATAGCAACGAGAATGTATTCATGACCTCCTGTTCCAAGGGGGGTGATTTTTCCGATGATATCTATTCTCCAAGTTGAGAATGGCCATGGAGATGTGTAAGTGTAGAGGAGTGATGGTGGAACATGTTGTAAATTAGCATATATTTGACATTTTTCACATCTTTTCACATATTGATGGCAATCTATTTGCATGGTAGTCCAGTAATACCCTTGATGCATGATTTTATGAACTAGCATTTTGCCATTCATGTGTGTCCCACATGTTCCTTGGTGTGTGTCCCACATGTTCCTTCGTGCATGATTCTCATCACTCTTTAAGCTTCCTTTTGCCTACACATAAGAGAGCTTTGCCTATAAGTACTCTTTTATGGACTTCATCGTTTCTGAGCACATAGTGTGAGGCTAAGAGTCTTAAAGCACGCTTTGCTCTTTAGTCAGCATTAGGTGGATATTCCCCTTTAGTGACATAATTGAGGATGTCGGTATACCAAGGTTCTTCTTCTTCTTCTTCCTGAATTACTTCATCATCCTCAATAGCTTGAATATAGGCAGGCTTATGCGTTGTTTCTATTGTTAAAGGCATTTGCTCAATTTCCTTAGGAATTCTAACCATGGAGGCTAGCCTTGCTAAGACATCAGCAAATTGTTTTTCTTCTCTTGGTAAATATGTGTATTCTATCTTTTTGAGTTGATCAGTAAGTGTTTCCAAATAGGTTTGATAGGGAGCTGGACTTTCACTCCGCACTTTCCATCTTTTAGAAATTTTTTTGATGATAAGGGACGAATCTCCGAATATCCGAAGTTTCTTGACTCCTAGTGCCAAGGCTGTTTTGAGGCCTACCACACATGCTTCATATTTCGTAGCATTGTTGGTAACGTCGAAGTCGAGTTTGATTGAAATTGGGACAGGTTCCTCCTTAGGTGGAACTAATAAGACTCCTACGACACACTCTTTCTGGTTGGATGCACCGTTGAAGTATAATATCCAAGTATCATTCTCAGTGACCATCAACTCTTCATCTGGGAAATCGTTTTCTTGTGCTGGTGTTAAATCCTCAATTAGAAAGTCTTCCAGGAAAACAAAGATCGTGGATCCTTTGATAGCCTTTTGAGGCATGAATCTTAGGTCGAATTGAGCTAAGTTTACTATCCATCTGGATATTCTTCCATTGAGTGTGGATTTCTCAAAGAGATACTTAAGGGGATCCATTCGAGATACCACTTAGACTGTATGGACAAGCATGTAATGTCTTAACTTGGTTGTGGCCCACACAAGTGCGAGGCACAACTTTTCAAGTGGTGTGTAGCGTACTTCATATTCAAGCATCTTCTTACATAGGTAGTAGATGTCGTTTTCCTTTCCTGCTACTTCTTGTGCGAGCATAGCTCCCACTGTTTCCTTGGTGACTGTCAAGTACAGACGAAGAAGAATTCCTAATAGTGCTGGTGCTGATACAGGAGGATTCGCAAGGTAGGCTTTGATCTTATCAAAGGCTTCTTGACATTCATCGTCCCATATTACTGGTACATTTTTCTTGAGTTTCTTGAAAATTGGTTCACATATTGTGGTGAGCTTTGATATGAACCTACTAATATACTGCAACCGGCCAATAAATCCTCGAATTTGCTTCTCGGTTTTGGGCGGTGGCATGGACATGATAGCCTTAACTTTAGTGGGATCTATCTCAATTCCTCTAGAGCTAATGACATAGCCTAAGAGCTTTCCTGAGGTAATCCCAAATGCACACTTGGCAGGAATTAGCCTCATGTTGTATTTTTGAAGTCTTTTGAAGAATTTTCTCAAGGCTACTTGATGGCTAGGACGATCCTTAGATTTTACAATCATATCGTCTACGTATACTTCAACTTATTTGTGCATCATGTCATGGAGTAAGGCAGTTGCTGCTCTTTGGTAGGTGGCACCCGCGTTTTTCAACCTAAATGACATTACTGTGTAGCAATAAGTGCCCCGTGGTGTTATGAAGGTTGTTTTCTCCATGTCTTCATCCGCCATAGCGTACCCATCCATAAATGAGAAAAGTGCATGATAGGCTGTATTATCTACTAAGATGTCGATGTGTCGTAAAGGGGTAGTCGTCCTTTGGACTTGCCTTATTGAGATCTCTGTAGTCAACACACATTCTTACTCTACCATCCTTCTTGGAAACTGGTACCACGTTGGTGACCCATTCTGGATATTTGAATACCTTGATAAAACCTGCAGTTATTTGTTTTTGAACTTCTTTTATTTTAAGAGCTACGTCGGGTTTCATTTGACGCAACTTTTGTTTTACAGGTTTCATTCCTAGAATTAGTGGTATAGTGTGTTGAGCAATTTTCTCTGTTTATTCCTGGCATATCTTCATCTGACCAAGTAAAAACATCGATGAATTCTTTAAGTAAATTTATTAATTGAGTTCTTTCTTCTTGATTTAGAGTTAAGCCAATTTTAACTTCTCTTTTAATGGTGAGAACCTTTGAGATGTTAACCGTTTAAGTTTCCTCAAATATTGCCGTTTTATTTTCAAGTGTTTCCATTGATTTAATTATTTCTTTGTCATTTTCATTATTAGCAAAGCAATGCTTGTCATCTTAGAAAGAAGACATATTATTGAATTCTTGAGCCATTACATAAAAAAGAGACAGGTCTAACGGGACCTGACTACTAACTATTCTAGGAGTAGGCGCTAAATTAGGTGGGATAAAAGAAGGTAAAACTGCTAAGGACTTAGGAGACTTATCAACGGAAGACTCGGACTCAGACTCAGACTCAGACTCGGACGACTCAGACACATCAAACATGGGTCCTTCTCCTGTGGTTATGGATATCTTCCTTCCACTTTGTTTAGTTACCTTCATGGTCTTGCGCCATCCCTGGAGTAATCCTTCCGCTGGAGTGATGAGCTTGAAGGAGTCAAAGTTTTCACTTTGTAGCACTGTTTGGATAAGCACGGAGTTGTCGTCAACACGCTTAGGCTCATTCTTCTCATAACAAAAGAGGAGTCCCATGACATTAAAGTCAAAGAATGGAGGTGCACGTTCCTTGTCCCAAATTTTGCTAGCATCCACTTTTGGAAGGTTGATGAAAATTTTTCCGTAATCTATAAGTCCTTGGATATAATCTTTGAATCCAAAACATCCTTCGATTGTACGACCTCTAGATTGATGGTATATGCAGTAGAGTTTGTCCATTCTTTTAAGGGACTCGAATGGTTTTGGTTCGCGAGGCTTAACCATGCCTCTTTCAAAGAGCATGTCAAAGGCTCTTTCATAAGTAGTGCCCATGGGTGTCTGAAGGAGAGGAATCGTTTTCCTTTTCGAGGATACAACTATTTTCCATTTTTTCTACCCTCCTATAAAGAACTTGAAGTTTAAGGGTTATTTCTTGCAGAGTATTGAGAAGGACATAAGCTTCCGCCCTAGTAGGACCTTGACTACCAACGTTCTTATTAGTAGCTTCTTCTTGGAAATCACTCATGGCATCGAAGAAAGTCTCCTCTTCTTCTTCAATGGCATAAACTTCTTCCATGGGAGGATCTTCGACTGGTTTAATGAGGAGTGATGGATATATTGGATCCTGTTCATCACAAATTGCCAAAGAGTCTGAAAGTGGAGAAGTATTGATGCTTGGTTTCTTACTAGCAGGAGGCACTGGAAGTTTGTTGTTATCAATCAAGTGTTGGATAACTTCCTTCAATTTCAAACAACTTTCAGTAGAGTGGCCCCTGCCTTGATGATACTTGCAATGTGCATTTGGATTCCAATTGGGTGACCTCTTTTCAGGTGCGCGATCTTGAATGGGTCCAATAGGAGCAATAAGTTCCTTAGCATGAAGACGATCAAAGGTGGTGTCGTAGCTCATCCCAATGAGAGTGAAATCTCTTCTAAATTGCTTCTTTTGTCCTTGATTATTCATGGCTAGGACATGGTTTAGATCAAAGGTACTAACATTGTTACTAGAGTGGGTGTTTTTGGAAGAAGAAGGATTGTCGTTCTTCTTTCCTTTCCAGCCACTGTTGTTACTATTGTTAGCAACTTTTTGTTTTGCCTGATCATCTTCAATTTCAATGCCTATATTGTAGACGGCCTTGAAAGTATTTAGATTGCATTGACATTTTAAATGCTTTTGACATTTGTCTTGGAGGTTATTAATGAACATCCTTACATATTTTTTCTCATTAGGAATTTCAATCATTCTAGCAGAAGTTTCCTTCCACTTATTATAGAAAGTAGTAAAACCTTCATTCTCTTTCTGTTTTAGCATTTCAAGTTCCCTATGATCAGTTTCTACTTGAATATTACATTTATATCTATCAATGAAAGCATGCGTGATAGATTCCCAAGTAGCGGTCTTCTCGTTGTCCATGGAGAATAACCATTGTTGGCACACAGGTTCAAGAGAAAGTGAGAATAGTGAAGGGAAAACCTTCTTGTCAATCCCCTTGATCTCCTTGATTGTTTTGAAAACCCTCAAATGAAAGTAAGGATTGTCAATGGGTTTAAACTTAGGGATGTCATTGGCAGAGAACTTCTACGGAAGAAGATCTTTGTCTAATGGGACCCCTTTGGAATTGATTCAAAGGTACTTATAATCATTAGAGATTTGACTCAAGATGTCCTCCATAAGCTTGATGGTTTCGGCTGGCACTTACTTATTAGGGTCGTTGACTTGAGTGGTAAGCCCTTTAAGCATCTCAGCGAATCCATTGACGGTTTGTTTAAGTTGGCCGACTTCTTCTTGAATGGTCATTATTACAAACCTTTTCCTGCGTCGAATCGATCTATCGAAGAGTAGTTATTGAAAAAAGGTGTCGTCCTTGATTAAATGCCCTTCTCTCCTTGACCAAGTGTTGTAATATTAAACCATTGACTCTTTTTAATGACTTGACTCGAATTGACTTTTATTTTTTATTGGGTTGCAAAGGCATAAAATGGGTGCATATTTTGGGAATTAAGTATGGGGATTTTATCAAATTTTAAGCAACATGATTTATGTTGGGAGGATATTATCCGACTTACCCCCCTAAAAAAAATGATAGAAAACCGCACACAAGACTCTAGACATGGTCATGGTGAAAGACATATACAAAGTGTGTGCATTGACTAGTGAGTGAAAGTGACATGCTCAAGACTCGTGTAATGACCATGGGACTATATGATTAAACTCAAAAAAACCAAATTAAGACCTTAATTGGTTATTTAATTAATTAAAAAAAAGTGTAGACTCGACGCGAAGACTCAAAAAGGAAAACCGAACCATCGTGAAGTGATGGAACTATCGCATTGTGTTGCCTTTATCGCAGCGCGATATAAATATCGCGTCGCAATAGAACTAACGTTCTGCGCTACAAGCCAAACTTTCGCGCCAGAGCTGGAACGTCAATTTAACTTGTTTTTAGTAATTCTTTCAAAAGGGAAGCCTATAGTCTTAGTAGTTCAAGTATGTTTAGACTTTATTAATCCAATTTAATTGATTAATTAATTAAGCAAAGTCCTGTTTAGTCATTAATTAGTTTATTAAGACTTTATGAACACAAGTCAACATAAAAGGTTAGTTTAATCACAAGCAAGATATGCACAAGTAAGGAATGCACAACTAGTCAAATAGTCACAATATGATGCAATGAATTTGCAACCTAACCATGGCTCTAGTTCTCTAAAGTTCAAGAATTATGGTAGTCAAAGAGGGTCCATGGTTATGAGTCCGAATGCATCGCGCGAAAGCCTTACCTTTGGAAGGGTTGGCGCGTATGGATTGGACCCCGCAAGTTAGACTTGATTCTATGGTTTAGTGAATTCCCAAACTCGGATGTACCCGTCATTGCACGGAGCGTTCGATTAGGTAGATGGAGCGTGAATTCCCAGGGGCTAAAACCATATGTAGAACACATATGGGTTCAAAAAAGAAGAAAAAACTTAATCAGGAAGTAGAATCGTTAAAACAGTACTAGAATCGGTAAAAACAAGAAGGCAGACTCCTGGCACGATGTCGAAGAACTCGGCGCGAGAAAACAGGAGCCATCGCACAACGACAACAATATCGCGTCGCGATATGACTGTCGCATGGCGATGGCACCTGTTGCCTCGCGAAAGTTCCTACGCTTCGAGGCAATTTTCTGTATTCTTCGGATTTTTCGATTTTCGTAGTATTTTTTCTATTCTATTTGTGAAAGATATTTCCCAATTTTCCTACGTGTGAAAATTCTATGC